TTCATGGGGTCACGAAGAGTCGGACACGACTTAACGACTGAACAACAACAACAACAATTTACAGAATTTATTTTGTCATCATCACTGTTCAGTACTATATACTAATCATCTGAATGTGTTATGCTGTGATGTGACCTGTGGTTACACCAATAAATCATTTCTGATTCTGATTCAAGCCAACCATCTTAATTACTTATTAAATACAACTCAAGTTCTCAAACTCCAGCCAACCTCATTCAACATATTCACATCTTTACTTGCTAACATTAGTGATTTAAATAGCATGACTTAAATACAAGGTTACCTACTGGGTCATAATTAAGTATCTTGGAAACAGATTCTGAAACAATCTGGGTTTTTTTTTCCTACTTCATATGAATTTCCAATGTACACTAATAGATATCTATATCATGGAAATAATCAGTCCGATCATGTACTTACTTATAAGTAGCATGTATCTGCCTAGTTCCCTTGATTTAATATTAAGCACAAAATATATTTCTTAAACAGTGTTTAAATATTATTTTTATTTTAACTAAATCTAATCTGTGACTCAGTCTAACAAGCAGCTTACCAAATTCCCTTGGTTTTACAACTTCATCTGAAAACTTCTAACGTTCCAATCCTGATGTAATATCTATTTTAAGTCTTGTCTTGTATTAAAATAGAGCGGTGCAAATTCAGAATGTTTCAAACATACAAACACCAAGACTGAAGTCTAAAAAGGGCTGTTCCAAGTTCAAAAAAGGAAGTTATAACACTGTTCTGACTGTGGCAGAAGCGTTCTTTTAAGCTTGAAACAACGCTCACATTCAGAATATTTCTGGGTATGGAGGGAGCACTCTGTAAAGTCAGAGGAGCCTGTTTTGAGCTCAAAATGGGACATTTGCACATCTCTCCTTATAAATAGTCTTGAAACTATTCATTCTAGATGTAAATACTGTTGTATAATACAGCTGCTATTTACAAAAATAGCAGGCCCATGTCTCCACCTTTAATTTACCTTAAGGATTAGGTGTTGAAGTTCATCATCTTGTAAAAACGAAGGCTTATATCGAACTTCTGAGTAAGAACTAGTAGAACCTACAAAATATTCATGAAAGAAAATTATTACAAGGAAGGAAGGATGGAAAACCAGACGCTCTTTAATTAACCCCCCCCCCAAAAAAAACCAGATACACAACACATGCACTTATTAGAACTCAGAACTGGCATTCTAAATTACTTTTACAGCAAACCAACATGGGATTTTATATCAATTTACAAATGAAACCAAGAATAAAACAGATAGAATGACATAGCAAATAGATTTTCCTTCCAACAGACTGATAGGATGAAGGCTGTTGCCATATTTCCTCAATAGTAATGAGAGGATGCCAGGATTATTAAAGATTGAATAACGCTCACTGCAAGGTGAGTGACGTATTGATCAATGCTCCTTGGCAGGAATTTCAGTAGAGTACGGGAAGAATTGTTTTAGCTTCCACCATCTGAATAGGATTGATTACTTATACTATCCTATTATAAAACTAATGTATAATTAAGCCTTCAGACACACTTAAGTCCTGTTGATTTCCTGAACTCTAAGAGTGAACAAAATGGTTGGACCCAAACCTAACAAACTGCTTCAAGAACAAATGGACCAGTGCAATCTTAAAACTCATCACAACACCACTACTATATATGCCTACTACAAGGTATTGTGAGCTTGGGAGCCAGCTTGATGATGGATGGGAAAATGAAATAATAATAATAATAATGAGAATGAGAATATGCTATTTTATGTAATAGTTAAGGTGAATAAAATAAAAAACAGACACACGTAGTCCTCAACTTATGATCATTCATTTAATGACCGTTCAAAGTTACGATGGTGCTGGAAAAAGTGACTTATGGCCAGTCCTTGCACTTACGACCACTGCAGTGTCCCCATGGTCACGTGATCAAAATTCAGGCACTTGGCAACCAGCATGTATTTACAATTTACTGCAGTGCCCTCGGGGTCACATGATTGCCATTTGCAACCTTCCCAGGAGGCTTCCAACAAGCAAAGTCATTGGGGGAAGCTGGATTTGCTTGACAACCACATGAAGCACTGAATGACTGCAGCAAAAAGTTTGTAAAATGGGGCGCAACTCAACGGCCACAGCACTTAGCGATGGAAGTTCTGTCCCAATTGTAGTCGTAAGTCGAGGACTGTATAGATGCAAGAAGTAACAGCAGGGCATTCCACTGGCTTCCAATACATGCAGATGAAGTGTACAATTGTACCTGCCATTCTGCACTGAAGCAGCTGCTTTTTTTTTTAAATGAGTATTTATTAATTAAAAATAGGGTAATATAAAATGGTTTCAGAGCATACAACAGAAAAGTGTTCACATTTGATGAACTTCATCAATGTGAAGATGCTATTTACAACTTCAATTCTCTCTGATCAAGACCCCTACCTACTGAACTATGAATGGACTAGGACAACGTGGAAGCAAGCTAGACTCTTCCTGGTTTTCTGTTCCTGAGCCCCTTGCCATTCCTGAACATACCTAACCCGAATGGGCTTTTTGCTAACAATTAACTATACAACAATGCTGCCCTTTAAACTGTGCAGCCATTGCTTGCACCTTTGTAAACATCTCCTGATCAACTGTCCGATACTGGTTACTGGTGCCAGGGGAGGCAGGATTGACTCGCCCAATCAAGGCAGCATGGCCCGGACTTCTATCATGGCTTGTCTCTCCCACTGTTTGCATCTGTCACAGCCACTTGGGAAAGGGTCTCTTTTCTTAAGTATACTGGGTTAATTAATGGACCATGGTACCTTCTTTCTTTCTTTCTTTTTTCTTTTTGGAATGCAGCCTGCGGAGCCAAAATCCACACCAACTTTAGAACTTTTTAT